GGTTTGACGAGGAACAAGGATTTCACTAAGGAAGGGTGGTAGAAGCTTTCTTGTGGGTTGAACCAAGAGCAACGGAGGGTCTGTGAAAGCAACCAGGGTCGTTGGATTTATTATCAGTGACCAAGGTTTAAGGTTTCAAAACTGAAATCAAAGGCAAGTTCATATTCTAACTCCTTCCCTTAGACCTGTGTTCTATGCATGCCTATATAGTCTCTAGGACTTAATCAGACTTTAAAACGGTTATTGTATGTATGTTAATTCAGACTTTAAACTATTTTATGTATTGATTTATTGAACAAATTGTTTCAGTTTATGTTTTAATTCTTGTTAACGATACATTCTAGATTTTTACGAGTTTCTGGATTATTTGGGACATGGTCGGATATCTAGGGACTTTAACTAAGACTTACAAAGGGATTTTAACATCGTCGGAGATGAAGACGATGATGGGAAGCAGGGACAGAGACGACTCTCAAGGGGATGGAGCCGGCTCCCTAAATATTTTTGGCCGAGGCTCTTTATAAGAGAAAGAGCCGGCTCCATGGTTAAGGGAGCCGGCTCCCTAAGGCACAAAGCCGGCTCCATGGGTAGGGGAGCTGGCTCCCATTGGTGGAGAGCCTGCTCTCAACTTTTGAGAGCTTGCTTTCTTGCTACAATGTGTACGGGAAGTGTTTTTAGGCACTGTTTGGATATTTTTGGTATTCCAGAATTGTTATGGGTTACTAAAGGGGGATTCCAAATAATTTTCATGACCTATTAGGATCCCATGAGGCATAATTTTAATCTATATGCTAATGATTTGAGTAGTATAAAAGTTTAATTAAGTTTTCATGTTGTTAGTGGATATGGAGGATTTAATTGTTAAATCTTATTTTAGTAATTTAAACAAGTGTGACATTATTTCTAAATCTTGTATTGGATGCATAATATGATCATATATATATCAGATTGTTATTATGCATAAGCTTTGGATTTTAATTGATGAAATATTTATATCTGTTTATCAATTAATGGATTGTATTGTGGATAGTATGTATCGGTATGGGACAGTGGCATATTAGGGATGGATTAGTTCAAAACACTAAGTCTTACCTATTCTGAAATAAGAAATGGATTAACTTTAAAAGTTAAGTCCTACTTATATATATGTCAGGTCAATAAACAGTTGAATGACATACATTGGTTTGGATGGATTATTTATTTATATACTTATGGTACCGTGATATGAACTTGAGTCTCAGGATTATGGTTAGGGTGCGTATATCGCCTAGGATGGATAACTGGACATAGCAGATACCTGGTCCCCTGGTAGGTCTAGGTATACATGCCCACGTTATATGTGATTTGCATGTTACCTTCTACCTAGGCTTAGACAGACCTATGGGCTAGTAAGCATCCTATAGTGTGTATTTATACATATATGGACTACTTTAGTTATTACTGAATTATCTAGGATGTATATGCGTACCGGGTCTCTGTATAGATTATAGTTGGGTAGAACTTGCTCGTGGGCTTGACCCACTCTTATTTTTCAGGTGTTCGTCAATTCCATGCTTAGAATTTGATCGTGCTAAGCAGATACAGTCACTCACTCCTCCAACTACATAGGATTTCCTTTCATGTTTTAGCTTTGGATTTTATTTTCGTTCTTTACTTTCTATTGCATTTTTTTATTAGGGGCCCACTAGATTGATTCCCGAGTTGTACGTATATTAGATGTTTTGAAAAGTTTGGGTTATATTAGTTTTATAACTTTTGAGGATTTAATATTTAGAATTCTTTCATCTTATTTAATTATTTATTTCTTAATTCTTTTGTACTCATGCTTGTTTAAATACTTCATTATCTGGTATCCCTCGGATCCATGCTCGGACTTGATCACCCGTGGCTTTAGAATCGAGGGGTATCACAAGTACCTTTTGGACTCATTTTTAAATTATTATTATTATTATTATTATTATTATTATTATTTTGTAAAACTCTAGTTTAAGGGGCTTTTTGGGTTTTTCCTTCGAAAAATAAGCTCTGGCCTTGACATGGTCACCTAGAAAATGTGATTTTAGGGGGGTTTCTTCACGGACTTTTCCGAAAAATGTCATCTTGGTCCCCCGTGGCAAATTCATTTTTTTGGTTTATGCATTTTTTTTTTTCTTTCTAAATTTAAAACTTTAGCACTCGGTACTATTCATCACCTTTTTTATAATAAAAAATGTGTTAACCGATTCAAAACTTATGGGGGTCTTGTGGGTGTATTTTAAGGTTACATATGCAATTTAGGCAATTTATTTCTCACCCGACTCATTTTGGACCCTTGGGCAGAAACTTTCAGTTTTGGTGGGTGCCCGCCAACTTTGGCAACCGCCCGCCATTGTTTGCTTGCGGGGACCCGCCGCCCTTGGCTGTAGCCCGCAATGCATGCACTAGGTGCCATTTTGGCAGCCTTGGCTTAGGTTTTTGTTTCGGTCATAGCTTCCTCATCCGAACTCCAAATCAATTGATTCTAGAATCGAACTTCGTTAATTTTTCGTTGTCTATCCAATGGTTTGCACGGTCGTACCCTATCTATATGAAATTACCATTTTACCCTTAGACCATTTCTTGAAGGGTTTCGAAACCCTAACTTCTGTCTTGCTTCCGTTGAGTCATGAGACTCCTCGAAAGGCCACTTTGGCGTCTTAAGGACAATGTACGTCTCTAAAGACCTTGTTCTCTTTTTCGCTTCCGCATTCTGTATCCGCTATCAAGTCAACTTTTTGGTCATCACAGAACGCACCGGGTTTGTAAAAGCTGGCTTTCTCAACAAAACAAAACCAAGAAAAAGACCCAGTTTTTAGAGAGAGAAAGTTGTTGGCTTGAAAGATGGTATATCATTTATTGGCTGTTTGGTTCAATAAATAAAGCTAACCTTGGTGGGAGTTATAAAATACGTTGTTTGGTCAAGTGTATATAGGAAAACGACAAAAGGATAAATTAGTCATTACATTCATTTATTTGTTTTTATCAGCCGACAATGTCTAACAGGGGTCTGACTGAATTTTTGCACATGTGAGGAGGTCCCCTTGAAGATTGGACAAACTATAGGAGGAGTAACTGAATTAAACCCTACTTTTTTTTAATAGGATATAAGAACCTAATTAACTCACAAATTTCAAACAATGAGATAAAAAATGATTTAATTCTAAACTCTTTAATTTATATTTAATACAATTAAATATTTAACTATAATATAATAACATTGATAACATTGAGTAAAATCTAGCACAAATAATTAATTTCTCATCCTTTCACATCATCGTCATCATCTTTATTATTCTTATTTTAATTCCACATGTTATGCACAGATTTTTCAGTCTCAAATTTTATTATTATTATTAATTCTTTCTTCAATCTCCAATGTATGTCTTTTGCAAGCCCTAATCGGTAAACTAGGTATATGTAATTTAGTTCTTTAACAAAAGTCCGTTGTCCTATCAAACGATAATAGCTCAATATAAACTCACATTCGGTTCGAGCTTTGGCAAAGTATGGGGTGAGTGAGTTTGCTAACTTAACCCTTTTTTTAAATAAAAAAAAAATTATAAAATATCCCTTATCCTAAGAAATGATTCTTAAAAAATAAAAGAATCATATATTAACGGCAATAGCCTAGTACAAACTTCCTTCCGGTTCGAACTTTGGTGAAAGCATGGGTGTGTAAAAGAATCATGTATTAGGCCTTGTTAGATGAGATGAAATCAACTAAAAAGTGAAGGAAACAGAAAAATTTAAATTTTTTTTAGAGTTTGAATAAAATTTATAAGTCTGAATATAACGCTAAAAATATTTTCAGACCTTTTTTATTTTACATTTCTATTGTTATTTTATTATTCTATTATTTTGTATAATAAAGGCAATTTAGGTATTTTTTAAGTAACTTTCATGCTATAAAAAATAAAGGAAATAAAGGCAAATTAGGTTTCACGCTATTTTCTAGGTTTTTTTTTCTTCGGTATTTTGTATAATAAAGGCAATTTAGGTTTTTAGGTATTTTCTTTTTAGGTTTTTTGGTATACTATTTTGGAACGGAGGAAATGGATAGAAGGCACCACTTGATGATTATAATTGCACTACTTATCATTATTCTGTAAATACATTCATCAATGTTTTGTGTCAGTTTTATTTAATTTTTTAATTGTACTCAACTAATAATTGGTACAATAATTTCTCCACAAGAATAAACCCACTACCATCGGAAATTCCGCCGCTTATACCCCATTCACTGCTATACTTCTCTAGAAGTTCTTCCCAAGTCCCATCCAATTTTCTTTAGCAACCATATCAAAAGGAAAAGAAAATATATATGTATATGTATATGTGTATATATATATAATCATACTATACTATTTTGACGAATATTCAATATCTATTCCATACTAAATTCCTTTATAATTTAATATATAAATGAGGGCACACACATACAAGTTAGTTCATCAATGAAATGCTACTGAAAGCATTTTAATGCCTAAAATCTTTTCATAAAAAAGGCACTTTTACCAGAAATGGCTAGTTTTGCGAGGACAAACCGAGTCACTGACTCGTTGGATAACGTGGTCAAGGATTGAATCATCGGCTGTGAACCAGTCTAGTCATGTAATTTTGTATACATGCAAGTGTCACTACAAGAAAAATAACTATTTAGAACAAGGTATTTACAACATACAAAATTACACCTTGTCAAAAGAAAATTTTACAACATGCTTCCATGTGCATTGCCAAATTGAAAACATACAACGTTTTAAGCATGTTGTCAAGTAATTTGAAATTTTTTAGCACTAATTTTAATTCTATTTTTCGCGCGCACATGTCTATCACCCGCCTAGTATTTAGTAATTGTACGACCCACTACGACTCTCTCTCTCATCTCTCTCCTTGCTGTCTCGGCCCTCTCTGTATCTTTGACATACGGTTCTCTCTCTCATCTCTGTATGTCTACACATATCTCTCTCCCTGTTTATCAATGTGTTATCTGAGTTAACTCGAACTATATTTTTATTCGTCGATGTATCTATCTAACACTATCCATGAATTATCCTCTTTGGATTTCAAGCCCTAACTCTCTTATTTTGACCAATCTATCACTCAACTATCTTCTAATCAGTATTTGGCCATCAGCAATTTGTTTTTGCATCTGATAGAGTCCTCTTTACTCTTACACAATATGCTCTCTGATTAGTGTTGGCGGAAGAAGCCAGAGAGAAAGAAGCCGAGAGTCGCCCAAATGCCATTTTCTAGTCTAGATCGGCGGTTCAATTTCTGTCTCTGCAATAAACAAGCAATCGAATTCGTGAATGCACCGAATGGCAAATCTATCATTATAGAGAGAAACGAGATTTGGATCTTCTTTCATTAATCGGCACGGTCTACTAATTTTGTTTTAGAGAGAGAAAAGGAGAGGAATTTGTTGTATTTTACAGGTTTTCGTCCGGTTTCATTGTTTCAGAGAGAAGGATAAAATTGAAGAGAGAGAGGTGATGTATGGATCCTCTCTTGTTGTTGGGATGAATGAATTTGATTCCATTAGAAGAATTTTTTGCTAAAGAAAGGTCGGTTGGTGTTAATCAGATCTATTGGGGCATTTTGAATGTTGTATTTTGGCAATTCGTGATAACACATTTTGAATGATGATTTCGAATCCCGATTTGGTTTATTACGCCTCTGCTTCCAACGGAGCTACGATTCTCGTAGAGTTCAACTCCGTGGAAGCCGATCTCGGAAGGATAGCTGCGAAATGTCTCAAAAAGACGCCGCTTTTTCACATCATTTTCTCTCATACCATTCGACAAAGGACCTACAAGTTCTTGATCGACGACCCTTTTATCTATTTCGCCGTGTTCGATGAGAATCTGGATAACTCGAAAGGTCTTGCCTTTCTCAAAGGTGTCCTGTTCATTGATATCATTGAGAGCAATCTCCTATTGAAATAGGTCGGTATCGAAGGATCAAATGCAGACCAAGCCAAAACTGACACATTCTGGGGAAGCTTTGAGATGCCCAATCACACACTGAGTTTCGCCATATTTCATATACTGCGAAGTGGGTCTCGGACGAACCTTGCTGCTCTATCAGGTAGGTTCTGGCGACCCAAACGGTGTTAGCGTTCCATCCCATCAATGATTTGGACAGTTTGCATTTTCATTGTTTTCAAGGCGAATTCAATCCAGTATTCCATCAATTGTTGATGCCACCGTCGAATTTCGATGCTCTGTATTCGCCACAGAGAATTTTGAAACACTCTCAGAGTGGAAGTTTGGATTCGCCCAAAGGGTTGAAATTTGGGTCTGTTGCTCAGAGGGGATAAGTTCATGGGGTTGAAGAAGAAGAAGAAGTTGAATATTAAGTTGAATATGGAGATGGGCGGTGAAGGCGAAGATTCAGTGGTCGGTAACTGGGTGGATATTATTAATGGTGGTGCTGGTTTGAGTAGAGAGTTTTTGGTGTTAATGCAAAAAAAAAATGGATTTTATGCTGTGGATTCAGGAACCCAAAGGGCAAAGCTAGTTTGGAAGAAACATGTTTGGGTGGTGTTGTCATTGGACTTGATTGTTTGTTTTGTCTTGTTTGGGATATGGTTGTGGATTTGCAGGGGATTTAAATGCATTGATGGTTGAATTGGCACTAGCAGGTTTGGATGGTGGTGTTCTCTGATTGTTGGATCTTTTTTCCTGTACATTGCTAGCAGTTGGGTTCTGTGATGATTTTCAAAGGCCTATTGGTATAGTAAAATAGAACCTCCAGTTACTTGTGAGTTTCCAAATTGTGATTCAGCTTCTACTGGTAATCTATTTTATCAATGAAGTCCTGGTATTCTGGAATAGTATATATACTGCTTCTTAATATGGTTCTTAACTATCTCATTTTGTGTTATGCTTTAAACTCTGTTTAATTACAGATATTACGGGCCTACACATTTTAAAATTATCTCTTCAGAAATGTTTCTGGTTAACATTATGGATTCACTATTACTTTTTGTCACTTGGGCTGCAAGGCTGGTTGTGATTAGATTAGATTGTAAGAGGTGTTTTCTCTTTGTGGAAAGGTTTCAATTCGTATCATTACCTGTTTTATAATGTTAGGAACCTCTGAAAATTGTCTTTAGACTTCCTCCTTTTTTTTCTTTTTTTTTTCTTCTGCTTCATTGGTCACTTTGTTATGATCTAGCTTCACCAATCAGTCTGATTAGATAAACCGTATAATAATATGGTCTAATGGCCATGTAGAGTACTTAAAACTAAATCGTATATTGAAGTATTTGCATTCATAATCCATCAAGAAACTGGTGAAAGTTACATTTTAGGTTCTAAAAGGGCTGGGAAGGGTTAACCAAAACTTGGTCCCAGGCCCGAGCTGGCCCGGCTTTTTCCTTAACGAGCTGGACCTGCCTAGGGATGGGTTTCTTAGTCGAAATTTATTGCGACCTTTGGGATTTAATACATTCGCATGTGTCCAGTTCTGTTTTCAGAACCTAATTAAAAAAATAGTTCAAATGTGTCATGTATGTGTAGCGTTGCTTAAAGTGACTTTCTTGATTTGTTACATTATCGCCTAAAGGCGATTTTTCCTTATTGTTTTGAAGCTTTTATATTGATGGGTGATAATCCTCCACAATTGGGTTTCAATTATGCGATTTTGTCAATTTCGACAATGATATATGCCCAGAACTTTGTGCTACTCTTTATGAATGCTGATAATCCGGGGGTCAATTTGTGTCCAATTTTGTTTTCCTGAACTTTTTACATTTGTTGTAGCATCACAACCTATATTTAGAAGTGGTGCAAGCCTGCAAGAATGTTGTTTACTGATTTTCCTCAATAATGACCAATTACTTGGCAACATTTGCTTATAAGGGATTGAATTTTGATCAAAAGAAACTTAGATGGATTATGGCAGCTCCCTACCATAGAGGTGTATGGAAGATAAAGGTAACTTTTCCAGATGGTTTTCCTATCCAAATGTTCTCTTCATCATGGTCGACACATTGAAGGCCACGATCCAAAGCTTCGCCTTTTATGGTAATTCTTGTTATCTATCACAATTCAACTTTTTTGTTTCCAAATTTCCAAAATTTGTTTGAACAGAGCTCTCGTTTAGCTTAATTGAAGCTCTTAAATATAATTATTGTTTTATTGTACACACACATACACATGTATAGAATAAGAAAAGAGTTTTCAAGACTGGAGTATGTTTTCTGGTGATTTGTTTGGAGTATTATGGTCACATTTCTGCGAAAAGGTTTGTTATTGTTGCTTTAACAATGAGTTTGAATTGTTAATTTGGTATTACAATTTGTGTGTGTGTGTGTGTGTTTTAATGAATTCTGATTATCACTCAGTAGTTTAATGGAACTATTATAGTGTTTTGATTTGGTGTACTTTTTCTATAGTTTTGATAATGGTTTTTTATTTTCTTGAGTTCTTATAAATTATTTTTTTGATATAACTTTATTTGGGGTATTAGTGCTATAAATTTTGTGCAATTGAAATTCTGATCTTCATTCCCTAGTTTTGAACAAGGGCTACATTACAATTTTTTTTTCCTTCTGAATTGTTATATCCAAATCAACTAGGGATTGGATCAATTTAATTAGATAGCAAGTTAATGGATAATGATTTTAGCAAACTCTTGGAAATATTTGAATCAAGCAAAGAACATGACAACTACTTATTATCATCAAAACATTAGTATGATTTATTAAGTTGATAAACAAGCTATATGTGAATATATTACTGTATGATTATTGAGAGAGATTGACCAAATTACTTGGTGTTTTTGTAGTTACTTAGGTTTCTTTAAGGATACAACTTTAAGGTAGTTTGGAGTGCAAGGTTGGGGAGAGTTGAATGGACTTGGCTTCCTTTTCACCAATTAAATTCATACTACCTAAGGTTGCTAGATTTAAGATGCAATGGAAGTATCTATCCGCCTATATAATTTTCTTCTCTTTTTATTTTTCTTATAAAATAATCAAGAAAAAAATTAGATTGCTTTATAGATGATTCTTTTTTCACCTCTAGGATGAATGGACTGAAGTTATTAAGAGAAAACTAACTACGAATAGTAAAAAAAATTAAGAACTTCTAATTAAGTATATATATCTCACACTAAGAACTTAATAGGCCTTATGCGCGAAACTTTAAGCCTAACACTATTTTCTATTAATTGGGTCTTAATTTCATAAAGATTAATAAAGTTGGATAAGTGAATTAAGTTATTTACTGAAGAAATTCAAACTCCATATCTTGGTGCTCCTCTTATATAAAATAACTAAAATTGTCTTTATTATTGAGCAAAATTATTACAAGACCCAATGCATATATATAAAATAACTAAAATTTTCTCTTCCTTTTATTATTATTTCTTTAATGCTCAAATTCAGACTCAATAATATATATATATACACACACACACACACACACAGACTCAATAATATATATATATACACACACACACACACACACACACACGCAGAAGTGTGTTGCAACTTGACGAGCCCTTTTCCAAGTGTTTAGAAAATGGACTTTTTAATGCAAGAGGTTGCTTCGCAAGGTCAAAACATAAATGTGGTTTCGGAAACCTTTCTAGTCAAATTTACATTTATAAAACCACTACTACAACTAATGAAGTATAGCGAGTAGCGATCGTCCACAGGGATTATACGTGTTGGAATTTAACTTCAACTCTGGCGTATCAAAAGATTACAAAGAAGGGTTGGATTGGTTGATTACTCTAGAAAATAATTAAATTAAAATACAAGTAAAGTAAACTAATGAGAGATAGGAATTTAAGAGATATGAAGAGAGGTATTAGGGTGTGTGAATCACTACTAAGCTCATGTAATTAACCACTTACTTTCTATTAATGGGGAATATATTATTGTGAACAAAATGCGACTACCAATTGCAATATTAAGCATGGACTATCAAATTCATGTATGAATTGTCTACCTAACCAACAAATAAACTAACTGTAGAACAACTCATCAAATTTAAGCATGACCCAGCAAACTAGTCACAATTGTAGCACGCATCAATTTAGAGAATCATGGAATTTGTAATAATAAGTCATGGAATATCAAATCAAGTATATATTGTTTACCTACTTACAAGTATGAATTACATTATAGAACAACCCATCAATCATAAGTATAATCCATCAAATTAATTGACAAACCCATTCAATGAAAACCTATGCTTGGCCATCACTAAATCCTTAATTAATCACACATAGACATGCAACCAACATAGAGAATCTAGTGTAGGGATCAATTCCCAAATAATCACACATAAGACAACATGTAATTAAAATAGAGAATCATAAGGAAGAATTAAATCAACAATCACAAGACTAAGCACTAATCAGAACAATATGTATATAAATCCCCAAAAATAGAAATACAAGGGTTTAGATTACACAAGACTTAGGGCTCATCCAAGCCCTAAGTGTAGATCTAGCCAATCATGGAGGAGGTGGATGTGGTCATGAAATCCTCAAGGGCAAGTTTCAAACATGGCTCCATCTTCTTCTTCTTCTTCTTTGAACCTCTAGAGAGAGAATGTGTGTGGATCTAGAGATGGGTTCTTAAGATGTGTATCCACTTCCCTCTTTTCTTCTAACCCTAATCTCTAACTTTCTAGAAAGAAAAAATAAAATTATAATGTAAAAATAAAATAATGAAAAAGTTTTTTTACAAAATGGGTCACTTCCCTTTAAATAGAAGGTCCTTTTCTTAGTCATTAAGTCAGAAATATAGCCCCAAAAATATCTAATCCCGTACTATGTGGTAGGTGGGGTTCGAATACGCGGGAATAAGATAGCTCACTGCCAGCACATTTTCGATCGATCCAACTTTTCTTCAATCGATCAGAGTTGGTTCGATCGATCCAACTTTTATAGATCGATCAGACTTTTCTCAGATCTATCAGACTTTTCTCAGATCTATCCAACTTGGCAATTTTTCAGCATCAGCCTCTTTTTGCTCCAAATTCTCACCAAGGCTTAGTTTGACTCCAAAAAGGCCTTAAGAAGCCATTTTTAGCCCATTTTAACATTATTGACCTGAAATACACAAAAACACAAGTAAGTGCTAAAACGGGTAAATAAAGATAAATAAATGGACTAAAATACCATCACTTAAGGGGTTTAAATGCGCACTTTTCAGCGCTCATCACACCCCCAAACTTAAATATTGTTAGTCCCTAATAATGAACTACAAAGTAAATGAATGAAATGAACAACTAAATAATTATGAACTAGAAAGCAATAAATGGATAACGCCATTTTCGTAGGGAATACGATTGCATTTAGCATATGCAACAAGCCTTTTAAACCCCTAGGTTACCCCTAGTGGACGAGTGAAGTCTCGTAAGGGTTTCCAGAAATGATACCCATAAACATTAAGCTCATTCTCACAAAAGAGGCACCAATATTGCAAACAAACATTAGGAGAAAACTACATCAAGTATGCAAATTTTCAACCCTTTTCAAGCAATCTCCTAAAATCTCAATATCAAGCAAGTAAGTATGGTCCTCCACACATCAAGAAAATGATCATGCAAATTAAAACAACTCTAAAATTCTTTTTGAGTGGACCGGCATCAAATATGTTACTATCTTAGCCAACTAAAGAGATGATCACATCCTTACCCTCAAACTAGCACACAAATCTAGTACCGATCATCAAGACAAAGAGTGGACCTTTTATTAAAGCTTTATTGTTCTAGATACACTTATTCTTTTCACTTGATTTTTTTTTTTTTTTTTTTTTCTAGTACAATGTGTTGATCTATTAAGCTTTCTAGCGATCCATGAGGTCAAGCGTTAGGTCAATGGCTTCCAAACCAGACGGTTTTAGGGCATTAGGCGTTCAAACACCCTAAGGACTTACAAGCTCAAATCAACTAAGCTACTAATCAAAACAACCTCCATCTAATCATTTCCCACTTCTCACCTTTTGGGAGAAGTCCTCACTTTTTTATTTACTTTTGCAACTTTTCTTTTTCTTTTCTTTTCTTATCCTATTATTTTATTTTATTTATTTTCAAGTTCAATTATTAACCTAGAGTTTGGGCTCTCCACCTTTTGGTGCGAGAAATGTAGGGCTTGATGAGGCTAAAATCCCGGTTACTCAATGAAAAGGGTTTGTTATCCACCTTTATCAAGAATGAAAGTTTTCAATACACCACTAGCCCAATTAGGATATAACCAATTCAATAATCAACAAAGCATGTACCCCACAAATGAATGCTAGTGTGCGCCTGTGCTAGTGTAAAATCTTAGAGTGAATCTCAAAGCAATCACAAAATCAGGATGATATGGACCACAAATGCAAGCACGATATCAATCTTTTGAA